GTTTTATTGTCATTAAGAGAGAACTTACAGGATATCAGAGGCTCCAGAACACTACAAGAAGAAGAAAGCTACAAAGCTGAACTGAGCTATTCCCTGGGCTTTTCCCGCAGCATGGAGTGATGTCTGGTTTCCTTTCCTGCTTGTGTCATTCTTCCTGACTGGAGGCTCTGGCTTGGCATTTCCCCCATGCTGGACAGGACCATGGCACACGGGTCCTCTGTCCAATGCCAGCCCAGCCCTGGCTCCTGGGCCACTGGGCTCTCTCTGTGGTATCTTGTCCAGCTGGGGTTTCCTGGTTTAAGTGCTCCGGAGTGGACACTGGTCCTGCAGGACAGGCCTGGCCGAGCCTTGGTGCTTTCAGCAGCTGTCCATCTGTCCCTTTGTTGGGACAGGTGCTCTTGGGCCTCCTCTGTCCCTGAGACCCCGAAGGCTGTGTCTGAACTGCCTGGGGCCAGCTCACTAGACCACTCCTGGAGGCATGGATGGTGGCAGTCACTCTTTCCTGCCCCTGCTGGGGTTCTACAGTCACCGTGTGGCCCAGTCGCTGCCTGGAGTGTCTCCTAGGAATGGTGCTGGGTCCACTGTGGAAGGTGGTAGTGTCCTGGGTCAGGCTCTTTATACCAGTGTATAGAGAACTGGGTAGCTGGTCCCTATGGGTTGGATCCAGCAGTGTGTAACGTGGGCCACAAGGAGGGGTGGAACACAGGGTCCCCATCAGAGGACACATGAGGGAAATATAAGCCATTGTTCAGGCTTGCGTTCATGGAGCTGCCCAGAACAAGCATGCTAGGAGTGGGCCGGCAAAGTCTATTGGGTGCCTATCAGCAGCCCTTCCAAAGCCCCTTCTGGGGGCTGATGTCCATGCTTGATGGCCTGGGTTGTAGCAGTCTCTGCAGAGGGTCGCCGTCTCTGCAGAGGGTCACAGCCTCACTTCTCTCAGAGATGCCCTGTGCTGGAGAGACTGGTGTGGACTCAGTTAGATCCAAGGCTGGTCTCCATCCAGACAGACACAGGCAATGCTGGGCACTGCCTCCTCCTGGGTGACCACCCTGCTCTTGGAGGCAGGGATGTCCTGGGGAGAGAAGCTGCATCCCTTGTTTGCCTCAGCCAGGGTCATGGTGGTGGCTGTGGGGTAGACCATGTCCAGGCTGCTGAGGCTGGGCATACCTGCTCTCCGTGAGTCCTCCAGAGCAGGGAGGGTGGGAGCACAAGGTCATTGAATCACAAGGTTAGAGGGCACTGTGGTCTGAGGAGTGTGTGACCTGTGGGTCAGGTTGCTGGAAGTGATGAATGGCATCCTCAAAGAGCCTGGGAAGGATGGGCCCTTTGAGGGTTTGGCTTTAAGCCCCTTGCCCAATCATGTTCCTGTAGTCGGGGGCGATGGTCTGCTTCAGTTCCACCACTGAGGAGAAGATCCACTTCACCTGCAGGAACAGCAAGTGAGCAGTCATAGCACCATGGGATGCCACCACAGCCAGTGGGACCATGGGGACAGCATGGGACAGGATTTGGGACAAGAAAGAGATGGGGTTGGGGCCAAGGTGGGGTCAGATTGGAGCCAGTTGGGGACATCATTGGGCCAGGATGGGAAAAGCAGCACAAAATAGCATGTAGACAGGGAGTGGACGTCATGGGGACACCATGTGGAACCTACATGGGGCATTATCGGGACAGTGTCCAGAGGGCTCGGGGCCGGTATGCTGGAAACAGCACAGAGCGTAATGGGGTCAATGAGGGGGTAAACATATGCAAAACAACACGGGACATATCGGGCACAGTTTGGGGACAGCATGAGGAGAAAAGAGCATGGAATATCATGGGGACAATGTGAGTTCAGAGTGGGGACAGCATGGGGAAAACTATTGGGCATTGTGGGCACAGTGTGGGTCAGTGTGGGCCATCACAGGGACAGCACGGGCAGCATGGGCATTGGGGGCAGTGTGCCAACCTTGAAGAGGGTGACCGTGGCGCTGTAGCACACGCTGAGCAGAAAGAGGGTGATGAAGATGGTGATGGTTGTCCACAGCCCATCCAGCTCCCAGTCCTGGGCCTCAGCACAGCTCTCATCAAGTTCTGGCCCTGGACAGGAGGGGGTGGTCAGTGTGCATCCCCAGCCAGGCCCAGGCACACTCCCTCTATAGTGGCATGGGGTTGCTGGGAGGCCAGGGAGGAAGGGACAACCGTGTTTTCCCGGGTTAGCTCTCCTTGGTTACCCTCCCTGAAGAGCAACCTTATATCTTCCAAGCCTCCACCTGGGTCGGAGGTTGGCAGGCACCGCAGTCAGGATGGCTGCCTGGACTGGATGGACAACTCTCTGTCTACTCTAGCCCTCTCTCTGGAGTGGCTGAGCAGCATCAAGGCCTTGGACCCTGTAGGCTGTGGCTCTCTGCAGGCTCCCTGGCCCTCTGCCTGCTCCCTGATGACCAATCTGGGAGATAGAAAGATGGCAGGGCCAGGCCACTCGTGACATGGTGTCCCTGTGTACATGGGAGGCAGCTGAAGGACTGAGCATTAGTCGGGAGACTTGTGTGCTGGGGAGGCTGCAAGTGGGCTGGTGAGTGTGTGTCCAGTGAGGTAGGCATGGAAGGTGGCGTGGGTGCTGTGCAGGCTGCCCGTGGGCCCAGGGTACCAGGCGTGTACATGTGTGCATGCATGTCCGTGGGTGTGTGTGGTCAGTGTGGGCTGGGGTGGCTCAGCAGAGTTGTTCTAATGGGTCTGGGCCCAGTACCCTCCCACGACTCTCAGTGGCTTCTCATGTGTCTGGATCATCCTTGCTTGGAGCATCCAGGGTGGCATCTCAGCCACTCAGGAGCACAGGAATATGTGTCCCCAAGGGTGTTCAGTGTCCCCATGAGTGGGCAGTGTCCCCAGGGGTGGCTAGCTTCTCCATGGTTGGGCAGCATCCAGTGTCCCCAGGGGTGGCCAGCCCTGTGCAGGTGAGGGGGTCATGGAGGCCTT